AGGCCGAGCAGGCGAAGAGCGGAGACCGGCAGCGACGACTGCGGCGGCTGTTGCGGCGGCTGGTGCTCGACCCTCGAACCGGCAGGGGCACGACGACCTCCGGGAGAACACTCAACAGCAGCACCCCCAGAACCAACACCCCCAGAGCGAGAACCCTCTCCAGCCCCAGCGGCACCCCCAGGCCCGCCGGGACAGACCACGCCAGGAGCCGCAGGACGAACACCCTCCTCAGCGCCAGCACCCCCAGAGGCCAAGAGCGGCAGCGGCGGCGGCGGCGGCGGCGACGACGACGACGGCGGCGACAGCGACAGCGGGGGCGGAGACACTAGGGAAAGGGGACGCGGCAAAGGCGGGGCGGGGGGACCACCAGAGTCAGCAGACTCCTCAACAGGGACAACTGACGGGAGGGGAGCGACATGGGAGACCCCAGACGGGGCAGGATGATGCATGAGGGGAGGAGGGGCTACCGGGAGAGAAGGGGCAAGGAAAAGGGGGGGGGGAAACTGGGAGACCTCGGTGAGGGAAGCGATGGTAGAAGGAGACGGACTCGTCAAAGGTGACGTCACAAGAGTGGAGGAAGCGGTGAGACTGCGGGTGGTAGAAGAGCCAATCAGACAAAGGAAGACACAAGGGACAGTGCGGGCAGTGAGCTTGTCCGTGCCGGAGGCACGAACGTGAGCAAGGCAGCCCCAGACGTGGAACGCAGACGCGTCACCGGGGGACCCGGTCCAAAGGAGGGACAGCGAAACCTGCGGCCGCTGGGAGCATGGCCACAAGTTAAGCTGGTGAGCAGCGTAGCGAACGGCGAACAGCCACAGAAAATGGGGTGCACCGGCATGGATCATGGAGGTACGAGCCACCTCCATGACCAAGCCGATGCGGCGCTCAGCAACCCCATTCTGCTGTGGCGAGTCCGGCAAGGTGTACGACTGGGTGATGCCCTCCGCACGACAGAACTGTCCAAGCCGACCAGAAGCGAACTCGCCGCCACGGTCAGAGTGGAGACACAACACGGGGAGACCGCGGTGAAGACGCGCAGCCACAACCCACGGGAGAAGAACATCGGGCACGTCGGCCTTCCGCTCCAGGGGAAACACCGTGGTGTAGCGCGTGTAGTCGTCGACGAGCACAAGAAAGTAGCGCTCGCCACGCGGTCCGGGGATGGGGGTTGGGCCCCAAACTTCCAGGTGCAGGGTCTGAAGGGGAGCAGTAGCAGGGCAAAGCGAGGAGGAGTGAGGGGCACGGCGGAGCCGGCCCTCGACGTAGGGCGTGCACGGTGGAGCAGGCGAGAGGGGAAGGGCGGGGAGCGACGCGGGGAGGCCTAAGACAAGACCGTGCTGGGACATGTGACGCAGGCGCGGGAGTGCAGTGTGACCTAGGCGATGGTGCCACAAAAGGGACGGGTGAGTGAGAGACCCACACGAGCAAGCTGCAGCGACCTGGGAGGACGCACCAACCGGAGGGGGAGTGGTGTCAAGGGTAAACAGACCGGACACCGGGTCCTGGGGGAACGTTGCAAGGGGGAAACCTGTGGCAGCCTTGGTACAGACTGCAAACCTCTCGTGCCCAGGGAACATAGTGGTGACGCCGAGGTCCTGAAGACCGCCGACACAAGCCAGGTTCCTGGAGAACAAGGGAACGTGGAGGCCTATAAGGGAGCCGGAGGGAACGGCGGGACAGGGAAGGGAAGTGGAGCTGCGAGCAACGACAGGATCAGCAGAGGGGTCGGCGAGTGCGACAACAGCAGGCACAGCAAGCGGTGCCAGCGTGGAGCGGTCGCGGAAGAAACAGGCAGAAGCACCGGAGTCGAGAGTGAAGGACAGCGAGGCAGTGGCCGGTGCAGAACCTAGGCTAGGCAAACTAGGTAGTCCTACACCTGACACAGTAGGGGAGGCTAAGCTACACAAGGGTGAGACACCTAAACTAGAGTACACAGGGTAATAAGATCCATCAACACTAGAAGCGTCAGCATACAAAGCGTGCAAAGCAGCACCTATCTGATCCATATCTAACTCAAAGATCGGCACGCCCTGGCAAAGCAGGCTGTGCCAGTCGGGGAGGTCTGGGGCCGGGCCAAAGCGACGACGAAAGAGATCGTCGAGGTGGCAGAATCAGCGGGCGGTCGGGTGCGGGCGGCGGCACAAAGTGCCGCGGAGAGGCCCGGTCTGAAGCTGGTACTGGAAGGTCACAGCACTGGAGCTGCCTGTAGACGCCAAGCTGCGCGGGCCACCACCTCGGCCACCACCGCCGGAGATGCTGGGCCAACCAGGCGAGAGACGAGCCCACGGCTGCGACGGCTGCTGCTGGGACAGCGGCGGCTGCTGCTGGGGCTGCTCCTGCTGCGAAGGCGACTGCGTCTGCTCCTGCCCACCAGTGGTAGTCCCCTCCGGTGGACTACCGTCACCACCACCACTACCACCACCACCAGTGCCACCACCACGACCTCCCTGGCGGCCACGGCCACCGCGGCGCGGACGCTACTGCGGGTGGACCGCAGCAGCCGTCTCGGTAAGAGGGGTCGCAGTGGCGACCGCAGCCGAAACGTCAGTAAACGTGCACTGGGAGGGGGCACAGCCGTGAAAGATAGAGACTGCCGGCGCACCGCTCGACTGAGCGATAGTGCACTGGCGCGTCTCGATCTCGGTGAGGGTGTCGACAAAGGTAGTCAGTGGGAGGTCACCCGGGTGCTGGCTAAGGAAGCGGTCGCGGGCACTAGCTAGGCGGTCCGGCAGGCGCATGGCGATAAAATAGAGGGTCATGCAGAATGGGGGGGGGGAGCGCAGTGAGCTGGGCAGCAGTGCTAGCAGTGCGATAGCGAGTCTCTAGGGCACGCAAGTGAGTGGCAAAGTCTGTGACAGTAGGGAAGGCAGCAAGGTCTGGGAACAGTATCGGGAAGAGCAGGCGGCCGGCAGAAGCGGATGCAGGTGTGGAATAGCGAGCAATAACAGTGTATAAATAAGCTTTGGCCGTATCAACCGTGGCGAAACGCGAGCGCTCAGACACAGGGAGGGCGTAACTGATAGCAACCTGAGCTAGTGCATCGCGTGAGTCCCAGATCGCACAGGCAAGCGCAGCAGTAGAGAAAGCCTCACTCTCAGCGGAGGTGGGGTCAGCAGGGAGGGGAGCAGGTGCAGGGGGGCGGGGGAGCAAGCCATCAGCATGGACAACCAGTGAGTGTCCATGCTGGCGCTGACCTGTAAGCTGACGGCGGAGATCGGAGAGCCAGGCGGCGAAGTTAACCGCGTGGCCCTCAGCGTCCAGGCGGAGCACGAAGTCAGCCATCGTGCAGGGTCTGCGACACAGCTCCTCAGCGACGCAGCGGCACAGCTCCTCAGCGACACAGCGGCACAGCTCCACAGCTCGGCAGGAGCACAGCGGCACGGGGACACGGCGGCAGCACTCTCCAGTAGGGCGGCTGCGGGGGCGCCCCAGCGCGGGCTAGCAGAGGACACGGGGCCCGAGGTGACACGGCAGGCCAAGCAGGCACGAGGAGGGGCCGGGCGGGCAGGAGGAGGGGCCGGGCGGTCGCACTGGGACCGGGCGGGCGCTAGGAGGGGCCTAGCATGCGCGGGGCGGCCGGGCAGGCGCGAAAGGGGCCGGGCGGGCGCGAGGAGGGGCCGGGTGGGCGCTGCTGGGGCCGGCTAAGAGCGGGCTCGACGGTCAGTGGGCCGGCCAGGAGCGGGCGCGTGAGGCCTGTTGGGGCCAGCTAGGAGCGGGCGCGACGGCCAGTGGGGCCAGCTAGGGGTGGGCGCGAACGGCCAGGGGGCCGGCTACGAGCGGGCGCAAACGGCCAAGGGCCCGGCTGGGGGCGGACGTGACGGCCAGGGGGCCGGCTAGGGGCGGACGCGACAGCCAAGGGACCAGCTAGGGGCGGATGCGACGGCCAGGGGGCCGGCTAGGGGCGATCGCGACGGCCAGGGGGGCCAGCTAGGGGCGGACGCGACGGCCAGGGGGCCGACTAGGGGCGGACGCGACAGCCAGGGGGCCAGCTGAGGGCGGACGCGACGGCCAGGGGGCCAGCTAGGGGCGGACGCGACGGCCAGGGGCCCGACTAGGGGCGGACGCGACGGCCAGGGGGCCAGCTGAGGGCGGACGCGACAGCCTGGGGGCCGACTAGGGGCGGACGCGACGGCCAAGGGGCCAGCTAGGGGCGGACGCGACGGCCAGGGGGCCGGCTAGGGGCGGTCGCGACGGCCAGGGGGGCCAGCTAGGGGCGGACGCGACGGCCAGGGGGCCGACTAGGGGCGGACGCGACGGCCAGGGGGCCAGCTGAGGGCGGACGCGACGGCCAGGGGGCCAGCTAGGGGCGGACGCGACGGCCAGGGGGCCGACTAGGGGCGGACTCGACGGCCAGGGGGCCAGCTGAGGGCGGACGCGACGACCAGGGGGCCGACTAGGGGCGGACACGACGGCCAAGGGGCCAGCTAGGGGCGGACGCGACGGCCAGGGGGCCGGCTAGGGGCGGACGCGACGGCCAGGGGGCCGACTAGGGGCGGACGCGACGGACTAGGGCGCGGGCGGAAGCGGGCGGGTGAACCTAACCTACTCGATACCATGTTAGAATACGTGAATGAGTTACTAGAAGGGAAAACATGACACATGTAGCAGTTGGATTGTGCTCACTAGGAGCACACACCGATACTAGCCTATAACTTCTACATGCATAACATGTATGAGTTGACAACTATTTACTATGATATATATATCATAGTAGGCTTGGTAGGTGTTACTGGATTCTACTGTAGTGGGTACAACCCCCCTTGTATCCCTCTCTCTTCTAAGCTCACCCGCTTCTCTCTCGACATTTTCCTCAAGCCTAAAACCTCACGCCATTCCATGGCTTCCTCTTCCTAGCATTCTAGTATTCTAACACCATGTTCATATTGAGCTGTGCAGACTGACATGTGATTCAGCAGTACCGTACTTCACGATGTCAACGTGATTTTCACTTTGTTTCATGACCTACCGGATCTACAGTGCGACAATTCAAGGCCTGTACACGAGAAAGATGAATAGATACACATGAACAGAAAAGGGTTCAATTGTGAGAGCTATACCACATGCTACTACAATCAGGACCTAACGGCGAATTCAACTGAGCATCTGTCTGTACCTAACAAGGAGGAGATGCCATGCCACATAGCGTCTGTGCTGCTGCCACAACACAGCACCATCTGCTGTATGCCATGTGCCATGAGTCATGACATGGGCCCTGTGGGGTGTGCCATACCATGCCGCATGCAACCTTTGCCATCCGCGCCCTGCCAACAATGTGCGGGTGTCAAGCAGCCTCCAGCACACCTGCTGCAAGCCACAAGAGCACAGGGTCATAGCGCTGCAGGACTAACACCTCCTCATACACACCCCCACCCCCACCCACACTCCCACTCCCTGGCGTCCTCTCGTGGCCCCTGCGGAACCCTGCCGCCTCAAGAATGGCCAAAGCAGCTGCAGCGAGAGAGAGACAAGAGGAAACAGAGACAAGAGAATGAGAAATGACAACAAGCAACTAAAAAGAGGAGGTGGAAGGTGCCCGAGGGTGCGCTTGAATTGGTGAGCAGCATGCGTGTGTTGAGTGCATCGACCGAGGACACACGAGGATGAAGGCTTCGCTGAGAGAAGAGAGGAAGCTGAGCAAGTGAGAGGACATGATAAGAGCTGACGGCACGGCTGGCTTATGGAAGAGGTAGGTAGGATTGTAGGTGGATGGCATGCCAGGGATTTGACAACACAACATGAGGAGCGCACACTGTATCAATGGAAAGAATAACGATTGAAGCTATCATGCATCAATGATACTGGAGAACCCGAGAGTGGGTGGTGAGGCAAGGCACACCGGCCAATGAGAGGGAGTGGTGAGGCGCACTAGCAAGCAAGGTGCACCTGACAACAGCAGCCGACACATTACCTGAGAACCTGCCGACGCGACTGTGGAACTTGGGGTTGGCCTGGAGACACACGGAGAGAACGGAAACACAAGGGCACAAAGGTGCACGGCACACATGCACACAAACGGTAAATTGGTAAAATGGATTGAATGGCTAGACATTGTGGGAGGATGACGTATTTAAGATGACCAAGGAATGTATGCATAGCATAAGAATAAGGAAAGAGGGAGAATGTGAGAGCTGAACATACTGTTCGAATGCAGAAGACAGTTGCTCAGGCTTTTGAGTCGACTCAAAAGTAAAATCTCTTAAACTTACTGGTCGAATGCGATGGTACTTGGAATCGTGGGGATGTTGCCTGGCGTTGCTGTGGAGGTAGATGTCAACAGAAAAGGGGGAAGGGGGGCAATGGGGAGAGCGTGAAGTGGAAGAGAGACGAAGCGCAGGAGGGAAGGAGGAGGCAGGGAGGAGGCAGAGAGGAGGCAGGGAGGAAGAAGGGAGGAGGTAGGGAGGAGGCAGGGAGGAGACAGGGAGGAGGCAGGGAGGAGACAGGGAGGAGGTAGGGAGGAGGCAGGGAGGAGGCAGGGAGGAGGCAGGGAGGAGGCAGGGAGGAGGCAGGGAGGAGGCAGGGAGGAGGCAGGGAGATGAGAACACCGACCAACAATGGCATCCGAATTGAAAAAAGCACTGCAGACAGTGAGAGGAATGTGTGGTCACGGTGATGATGATACGGGGGCGAGGCGCACCTGACAATGAGGGAGAGTGTGCTGACAGCTGCTCGGAGCTCCTGTGAGTCCGTGACCTCCTGCCGCAGCCCGTCCATGAGGGTGTTGAACCTGTGTGACGCCTCGCCCGATGCTGCATGCACGTGAGCCACCTCTCCAACCACCGCTGCTGCTGCCATGTCCTCCTCCTCACCACCGCCTCCTTGCCCTGCTACTGCTGCTGCTGCTGCTGCCGCCACTGCTGGCGTTGCCGCTGCTGCCCCTGATTCTGCTGCCCCTGATTCTGCTGCCCCTGATTCTGCTGCCCCTGATTCTGCTGCCCCTGATTCTGCTGCCCCTCTTCCAGCTGTTAATGCTGCTGTATCCCCACCTTCACAAGCATCACTACCCTCATCCCTAATCCCAAGCTCAATCTGGCCTGATTCCCTGCTGTCGCCACTGCTGCCATTGCCTTGCCCACGGGGCAGCACGAGGATACTCTCTGCCTGCCCTGCGGCACAGCCTCGCATGGCAGGTGACTGTTCCAGTGGTGCGCGGTCACTTTGCCGCCCAGCACTGTCTCCTCTCCCTGTCCTTTCCTTCCCTGCCTCACTTGTGCTGGTCTCCCTTGCGCCCCCTGCGCCGCCGTCTGCCACAGATGAAGTCGCCCTTGCTTGCACGGATGCTGCTGTTGTCGTTGTCGCTGCAAACGCTGCAGCGGTAGTTGCCGCTACTGCTCCTCTTGTTCCTGCTGCTGCTGCTGCTGCTGGTGCTGCTGCAATTGTTGCCTGTGCTCTTGCCTGTGCTGCTGCCGCCGCCGCTGCAGCTGCTGGCGCCGGTGGTGGTGTGGCAGGTGCCGAGGACAGCAGAGTGCGAGCAGCAGCAGGTGTGGCGTGCGAAGGAGAGGACGGAGGAGGAGGGGCGGAGAGGAGGTGAGAGAGAGACGAGGAGGAGGCAGCAGTCGAGTGGGAGACAGTGCGAGTCCAGTCCTGCGCCTCCACCTCCTTGCTAAGCTGTGCGGTTAAGTTGGGTTTTGAGGATTTGAGAGAGGGGTTGAGAAGGGGAGGGAGTGTGAGGGCTAGGAAGAGAGAGAGGGGGGTGGGAGGTTGAGGGGGTTAAGGGGGCTGAGGGTGGGGGTGGGGACAACGAAGCAAAGGTTAAGAAAGAAAGGAGGTGGGGGGAGGGAAGAGGTTGAGAATGCAGAGTTGGCAAGAGGGAGGAAGGGAATCGGTGGCAAAAGGGCAATGTTGGAAAACAGAGACACCTGCAAGCATGTACATGCACGCACCCCTTGCCTCTCCACCACCTTCCTATCCCTCTCCCCTGTGCCACTGTCACCCACACTCCCACCCCTGCAGCCCACACCTGTGCTCCCCACACCTGTGCAGCCTACACTTGCGTTCCCCACACCCGCGCAGCTCATTCACCCGCGCAGCCCATTCACCCGCGCAGCCCATTCACCTGGCTGTCGAGTGCCTTGAACTGCGCATTGTGGTCATCCACCTCCATGTGCGCCTGGCGGGAGGAAGAAGCACAGGGGGAGGGGGTGAATTGAGTCGGCAAAGAGAGCGGGTAAGAAGATTGGGGCTAAGGCCAGACATGAAGGAGAGGGGGAATGCACCGTGCAGGGAGACCATTGGAACGCGTACAGCGGCAGGCAGCACGATCCACACACGCTGGCAACGCAGAGCGCATGAGCCCATTATGCAAGGACAAATGAGTGGACTGCAAAGCGGCATCATCCCTGTTGGACCACTATGCCACTCCCACTGTCACCAAGCCTGGCCCCTAACCAGCCCTAACCAGCCCTAACCAGCCCTAACCAGCCCTAACCAACCCTAACCAGCCCTAACCAACCCTAACCAGCCCTAACCAGCCCTAACCAGCCCTAACCAGCCCTAACCAACCCTAACCAGCCCTCACCAGCCCTCACAAAGCCCATTCTAGTGCAACACAGCGCCTCTCACCAGTCCCCACCAGTCCCCACCAGCTCTCACCAGCTCGTGCACGAGAGTGCGGCGGATGGCGAGGTACTTGCGGAAGCCCCTGAGGTCGTCCGTGCGCAGCCGCAGACACACCTCCTCCCCATGGTTCTGATGCCCGAGCCGGTGCCAGTGCGGGGTGGGGTGGCATAGGGTCGTGGGATTGAGAGGAGGAGCATGGTATCATGGCAACACGGCATGCTGGCATCGTGGCATGGTGGCATGGTGATAGAATGGTGAAACAGGATGGCAGAACGGTGCTGTGCAGTGCGGTGTGGTGCGCACCTTGTTGAAGCCCAGCAGGCACACGGGCGACACGCCCACGAGGCCCTCTGGAGGCAGCTCGCTCAGCAGACGCACCGACCATCGCCGCTGGGGTAGGTAGGGGGGGGGGAGAGGGACTGGTGATTGAGGATGCAGGATTGGGACGTGAGGGAGGGCTCAAGGAGAGAGGTTGTAAGACAGGCTTTCGCATGGGGTGGTGTGGATAGAGGGAGACGCAAGTGGGTTGCCTTGCAGGTTGAGGAGGGATGCAAGGGAGTAAGAGAAGAGACGGGGGCGGGCGACCATTTCAAGCGCCCAAACCATCTTTGTGCATGCACGCAAGCCACCATTTCCTTCCCCTCAATCCGCAGCCGGTAATCCCTGCTTACCCTTTGCATGACAGCCACTATCCCCGGGTCTGCTGCCAGGCGGTGCAGCAGAGCGAGTGCCTCAGCCACTGGTGGGCGCATCTGACCGCGGGGGCGGGGGGCAGAGAAGAGTGAGTGAGGGAGTGTGGGAGAGGTACGGGGAGAGTGTGGAACGGTATGAGATGGTGCAGGAGGGTGAGGGAGGGTGTGGAGCGGCGAGCGGCAACACGAGGGGCGGAGCATGGCCAGAGGCACACTGGAACGAAGGTGCCACGTGGACGTTCCAGCAGGCTGGAAACAGAAGAGGGGAGATTGACGAAATCTACGCCCTCCAGTTTCATCCCTCCGGCGCGCCCACCTCAGTTCCTGGAAGCTGCCACGTGCGAAACTCGTGGAAGGTGTACGGCCCCTTGGGTAGAGCAGCCGCAGCCGCAGCGCGCTCTTTCGTTCCTTTAGTTGCCCCCCCTGTGTCCGCCCCGCCCCTCCGTATCGCCCGTTCGATCTCCTCGTCGAATCCAATCACGCGCTGCGCTGCTGCCGCCTGCGGGCCGGCCTGCAGCGCCGACACCGCTGCCACGTCAGCGACGGTGGAAGCCAGCAGCGTGATCTGCGCGCCGTGCGCGATCCCCGCGTCGCCAAGGACGCGGCGACGGACGGACGGGTCGCTCAGTCGCAGCAGCGACGGCGTCGCCTGCGACTTCGCAGCAGTCGCAGACGCGGTTCCAGCAGTCGCTGTGCCGTCGGTGGGCTGGGAGTGAGGCGACGAGTGTGCGCGCGCGCGGACCATGAGCTTCAGCGTGGCGGGGTCGACAGCCAGTTTCGCGCACAGGCACGTGGAGAGCGCAAGAAGCGGGGAGCGCGGGTGCATGCGCAAGGGGATGCGCTGCCCGCGGAAAGTGACTTCGAACTCGATAGTGTCGCCCCCTGTGCATCCCTCGACACAATCACAGGTACTACAGGAGTTGCACGCCTCGCTTCCGCCGGAAGTTGCCATGGCCGCTCCGTCTACGTCAACGTCAACGTCTACGTCAATGTCCATCGGGCTGGGACGAGCCGCACTGGGTACTGACTCGAACTTTCTTGACACGTCACAGTCGCCACCAGCCCCTGCTGCTGCTGCTGCTACTGCGGAGCGAGAGTCGACTCCTGAAGCGGAGTTCTTTCCACCCTGGGTGCTGCCAGCTGCCATCGCGAATATGCGAGCCCAAACCGAAATCTCCAGATGCGGTGAGGGAGTACGCGTGTGTGCGCAGTAGCTATTCCATCGCTACCAAATAGGTGCCGTCACCTCCTAGAGGTTTCCCGAAGGCAGGCAAGGCGCTTGTGGAGAGTTTCGCGGAACGCTGGGATAGTCGGATGGTTCTAGGAACTAGGCGAAACCAATAGAGCCCCTGATCGGTTCGCCGAATTCTGGAACCCTGATGGTGTCGAGCAATTTCGTGGGCTTGGCTCGAAATTGACTTAAAGCCAAAACAATCTTTTTAATCACACCAAACCTCATGGAATAGAGTGTTAAATTATATATTGTTATATAATTAATAGGCTTGGTAGGTTACTGAACTTTACTGTAGAGGGTACAACACCCCTCCTTGTATCCCTCTCTCTTCTTTTCTAGTTCCCTTTTCTCTCCTCAACTTTCCTAGCTCCTACCTAAACCTCACGCCATTTTCCATGGCTTCCCTCCTACCTAGATCCTAGCTTAACATAGAGGTGTGTACCAGTGCCCAAAATTGGTTTTAGGCCACTCTTTGAGATCAGAGTAGGGAAAAAAAAATACCCTGACGGTCAGAGCTAAAAAAAATCTAAGTCTGATTTGGCAGGGTAAAAAATTTCGAAGTCTTTGCTTCAAGTGTAGAACTCTTTGCACCCTTTCTAGCCTTGGCCATTTAAGGAACATTTTACATGAATGAAGTGGGCAGCACTGAGGTGTGGAAAGAAGTGTGTAGCGGATTTGTGCGTGCTGGGGGAGATTGGGGGATGGGATGGGACGGAAAACGATTCTGGGGCGCGAGAGGGGAATCAGATTTACATGGGCGGCAGAGGGGCGGGAAAAAAACCATCTGTTCGTGATTGGTTGGGTGTCAGAAGGGCGTATACGACGTGACTCGTCTTGCTGTGGTGTGGAGGACTTAGCGGAAAAAAAAAAGAGTAGCGGGGGTGTGGGTGGGAGGCATGTCTCTTGTGGGGGATTTAGCCATTTCTGGGTTGCGAGGGGGTGAGGGAGCTATGACTCTGGCTACGACTCAGCCGAAATTGCTGGCTTGCATGGTGCGCGGGGTGGGAGGAATGACTTTGGCCGCCAGAGACTTAGTCGAAATTTCTGATTGCAAGGTGTTTTGGGGGAAATGTTCATGGCCGCCAAGGACTTAGTCGGAATCTCGGAGTTTCAATACCAGGGTAGTTTTCAGGAAGCCCTGAAGGGTCAGGGTTCGGGGCCCCGCAACCCTAGTTTCGGCAGGGTAATATTTTCGTAACACTTTTTGGATCAGGGTAATAAATTTTGTAAGTCTGATTTTTAAGACTAAATGAAAAAATGCCCTGAAAAATCAGGGCAATCAGCGCATTTCACCCGGCAAATTTGGACCCTGGCGTGTACCGAACACCAGGAGCCTGATTGGTTGGCCGTATTCTGGAACCCAGATGGTGTCGAGCAATTTCTTAGGGCTGGCTCGGAATTGGCTTAAATCCAACCAAACATTTTAATCACACCAAACCTCATGGAATAGTGGTGTGTATTAGAATACGTTCGACGGCCAAGGGGCCGACTAGGGGCGAACGCGACGGCTAGGGGGGCCAGCTAGGGGCGGACGCGACGGCCAGGGGGCCAGCTAGGGGCGGACGCGACGGCCAGGGGGCCGGCTAGGGGCGGGCGAGAGACTAGGGCACGGGCGGAAGCGGGCGGGTGAACCTAACCTACTCGATACCATGTTAGAATACGTAAATGTTTTACTAGAAGGGAAAACATGACACATATAGCAGTTGGGTTGTACTCACTAGGAGCACACACCGATACTAGCCTATAACTTCTACATGCATAACATGTATGAGTTGACAGTGTATACTAATCACCAGAATAGGGGAGGCTGGAATGCGGAATGAGGAAAGGGCACCTAGCTGCTGACTCGGGCGAAATCGTGCCAACAGCCGGCCGATGTGAATTCCAGCTTTTTTCCAGGAATAGTTGGGAATAGTGAAGAGTGGGGCAATCCAAACGAAATAACTAATGCCCTTATTTCGGAAACGGAAAACGTCGAATACCGACTACCAGCCTGTGTCTGACCGCCGAGAAAACAAATTCAGGGTCGCATTTCGATATCAAGCCAGGTGCACAGCCCTAGACAAAAAAATTGCAAGATTTAACAGCACAATCTCAAGCCCTGTTTCTCCCCCCCTCCCCCCCCCCCCCCCCCTCCCCCCCCCTCCCTTTTGTTTTTCGTAACCAAGATCGTGGCGGGCAAGTTTGGTAATTCGCCAGCTCAGATGTGTCAGTTACATCCAGCAATTCCGCACATTAACCAGCCCAACTTCTCGCACTAACTAACCTGGCGAGTCAGCCCGCGGAAAAGGGAACGCTTTCAACGGATTCCGCATTTCGCGTTCCAGATTCTGGAATGACAGCCTACCGATCAGGGCCTGAATATGAGTGTACACGAAACTTATACATCTGTTTCTATCTATTGTCTCATCCAAAACAGTCCAGGTTCTCTGCATGACCCGCGTTGACCCAGAACTTGACTAGTTGCAGTCTGAACGATGGCAAACAGTGATGTCGTCTGTCGACAATTGCTAGATTCCAATCTGTTTCCTTTTGCGCACGCAAATTACCTAGTGCATGAGCGAGACTTTGTAACCAGGTGACAGTTTTTCTGTGGGTTTTCCCCTTCGATGTTCCGTTTGCCCAGGTTTGATCGTTTCCTGCTTACAGGCTCAAGACGCGTGCAAAAACCGTGGGACCCAAGGTGTATGTGTAGTGGTTGGGCCTTTAGGGCAGGTCCAAATAGCTCAATTGGGGGTTTTGGACACGTTTTTACGAACACGGGTCCCAAACTTGAAAACGATCCCGAAATCGTTTTCCCCAAAAACCGCGTCCCACATTGCGAACGAAAATAGAGATTGCCGCCAACTGGGTGCGTCACAAACAAGGCTCAGGGTGGGTCCAAATAATTCAATTGGGGGTTTTGGACATGTTTTTACGAACTCAGGTACGACAACTGAAAACAATCCCAAAGTCGTTTCCTCCCCAAACCGCGTCTCATTATTGCGAATGAAACAGAAGCTGGCGCCAACTGGGTGCGTCCTAAAAAACGGTTTGCATCAGACGCCCCAAATCGCAGTTACCAAATGTCGCAGCTCGCGAAACAGATGTTTCGTGCTGGGTTAAGTGGCACGTGTGATTTGGCGTTGCGCCACGCGAGATGTTCGCGAGGTCGCCTTGTTCTCGCCAAGCCAGGCTTGGCGAAACCCCAAAGCGCTACACGTGTCCACCGATACCAAAACGCAAACCTAACGTCACCAAAACGTAAACCTAACGTCACCGAATCGTAAACAAATAATGTGCATTCACATGCGTCGAGCGCCCCGAGTTACGTCAATTTCGCGCACGTGTCCCTGCGAAATCCAAACGAGGTTTAAATCGGGTTACTTTTCACGAAGTTATTGAGTATGAATTATTTGGACCCGCCCTCAACGCGAATTCGTTGTTGGGGTTGTGTAGCAGCGTGATAGAATCCTGAAATGAAAAAGCAATTCTCTCATGCAAATAAATAGGTAAGAGAGTTCGTTTGTAAGGTAAGCTATGTGCAATTGTTTTTCAGATTGGATATGAGCGTGAACATGATTTGAAGCAATTAGGGGATTTTGATGAGAAATGTATCAACGAGAACAATGCCATGGGTTTTCTCCAAACCTCAACATGAAAAAAAGGTTTGGTTAAAAAAAAAACAGCAAATGGTTATTATGGATGCCATAGTAATACGATATGTAGTAAACTAATGATGACGTTAATAGGCATGTACTTCTCTGTAGCTATTAGAACTTATGCATTTTTGTCAAGACGAGAGGCAAAATATTTTTACTGCTGTGGCTTTTTATTCAAGCTTGACTTTTTAGTTGCAATGTTTCACGTAGGATGATGGCATGTTACACCGTCAAGATGATTGGTTCGTTTTGACGTTGACTGTCAAGTTGCATTGTGTCTCCATCTTTTTTTTGAAATTTATTGGAACCTTGAGTTTTTTTTTGCATGAGTACAGTATCAGCTGAAGGCGGACTCAAGAGTCGTTGGCTGAATTCCTAAGCAAACTTGGGCAGTTTTTTTCTCCCTTATTGGTTTGTTTCAATCTTGACTGTCGAGTTGCAGTTTGATTGTGCTGTTTGCCAGAACCACGGGCAAAGAACGTTCATTGTAGTCAAAATTTGCTAGACCTTGGCGGTTTATTTGCACAGCGTCACGCGAAGGCAGAGAAAGTTCACTATAGTCAACTTTCCCTGCCATCTTCAAGATTCTTCCCCGAAGAAGTTCTTCCCTACCACAGCTCCCTTATCGTTGGCTCCTCTAGCACTTCAAGATTCTTCCCCGAAGAAGTTCTTCCCTACCACAGTTCCCTTCTCGCTGGCTCCTCTAGCACTCATAGAGATACGTTCTATTTCGTAGCTCTTTCATCCTCCTAGTGATGTTTCCAACTCCCTCGCTCAGTTTCCCACCTGCTCTCAAGGATCCGTTATCGTGGTTTAGCACCCCACCTCTGCATGCGGACGAAGGTATTGGTGGTTGCTAGTTGTCATCCCATCCCTCCCACGCTCTCGGCCACGTTATGGCGCTGCGACGTGCTGGCGTGCTAAAAGCACAATGCGCTATGGCGCCTTGCACACTGGCACTGTGCGCCTTGTGCCGCGCGCGCTGGCGCTGTCCGCGCTGACGCCGCGCGCGCTGGCACCGTCTGCGGTGACGCCGCGCGCGCTGGCGCTGTCCGCGGTGGCGCCGTCCTCGATGGTCCGGTGCGCGCTGGCCCGGTGCGCGCTGCCGTGCGCGCTAACGCGGTGCGCGGTGGCACCGTGCGCACGGCCGACGTGCGCAGTGGTGCCGTGCGCTGGCGCCGTGCGCGCTGGGCCGGTGCGCGCTGGCGCCGTGCGCGCTAGCGCCGTGTGCGCTGGCGCCGTGCATGCTGCCACCGTGCGCGCCGGGGCTGCCATCGTGCTCGCCGGCGCCGTGCGCGCTGGTGCCGTGCGCTCTCTCCTCTCTCCTCTCTCTCCTCTCTCCTATCTCCTCTCTCCTATCTCCTCTCTCCTATCTCGTCTCTCCTCTCTCCTCTCTCCTCTCTCGTCTCTCCTATCTCCTCTCTCCTCTCTC